AATTTGTATTGTCATGTTTATGTTTTGAGAAAAAACCGGTAACCATGATCCTGAAACTTGGAGTGGTGAACCACATAAGACCTCAATAGATCAGGCGTGGTTTTGAGCCGGGCGACAGCAGAGCCGCCTACCACCTGGTTGATTGTGATCTGTTGTTTCTTTCTTTCGTTGGGTTAGAGTTCTTTTAATGAATTTGCGGGTGTAGCCGTTGCTCGCAACGGCAGACGGGGAATCGGGAACAAGAACTACCCTGCCGTACATCAAGGACGTTTCGGAAATGACAGCAAGACTGCTCAGATCATATGGAATCCAAGTCGCCCACAAACCTACCACCTGTCTAAGGAGACTTCTGTCAAAACCAAATGAGAAAGACAAGAGCAGTGTTACCTAAAAAATAAATTGCAAGAACTGCTCAAAACACTATATCGGACAAACTGGGAGAAAACTGTCCACAAAGATCCGTGAACATCAAGCGGAAGTCAGGAGACGTGACCCACTACCTTTGATTTCCCTCCACGAAGATCAAGAAGGACATCAGTTTGACTTCACTTAAGTGAAGCCCGGTCAAAACACGCCAGAGAATTTCTCGAAGCTTGGGACTCCTCAGTCAACTCAATAAACAGGCATATCGAACTGGATCACGTGTACACGCCAATGCAACTCAAGGATCAAATGACGCAACAAAAAGGTCACGGTGTGACTTGAGAACGGACTGAAACCGCAATCAGGACGGACAGACAACCACCTCCCTCTCCCTAGCAACCTCGCCCCCAAGCACCAGTTTAACGACAAACCCAGTGGAACACAATGAGAACAGGGGACAACAATGGTCGGTGGAGAAAAACACATATATAAACGAACGGACATAAGCAGAAGACTGCCACTTCAAAAGCACTGATGATGTCACCTCGGCTGGTGATGAAACGTTTGCAAACAAATTGCCAAGCTCCGGCGAACCGGCGAAATAGAATATGTTTAAATTTTAATCAATATTCTTGTGGAAATGAAAACACTTCTTTTCCCCAATTTGATTACATATTTAGTAAAGAATAGTCCAGTATAATTTTAATACCAGTGAGATGCCATTGGAGGACCGTTTGTACTGGAGGCGAACACTTGAGCTCTGGATATTTCACCAGATATGCACCACCGATGACCTTAACTATGGTGCCCGGCGGACATTAAGTATGGTGCTTTCCGATTGTCTGGTTGGGCTGATGGACTATGTACGCATTAGAGACGAATGTAAAGGCTGATCATCCCCAAGCGAAAAAAAAGGAACAACAAATCCAAAACGCCCAAACTTATTCAGTGTGCGCGTGCCTATTCAATGCATCGATAAATACACCTGCTCAAATTTTGTGATGGAATAGTTACATAATCAGTGTGTGTTAATGCAATAAAACCTTGCTTAGCATTAGAACACGACAGCTCTTTTTTCGACGGTTCGAACTTGTCTGTGTGTTTGTGTTAAGGAAATTTTACTTGTGCGTATAGACATGCTTGCATGAAGATCGGACTTTCAAGAACCGCATTTTCTCGCAGTTGGGGCTTGCTTCCATGAGACATCGCGTGAACGTGTGACCCAATGGTTCGAACCCGCGACCATTCAAGATTTTTATTTTCGCTTCCTGTTAGTATGGTGGATGAGATCATAGAAACCGCTCCCATATATGAGATACTGTAAGCAGTACCACTGTTTTCTAATCATTCACCTAGCAACCATCCACTCGGGCAGCCAAGTCACCGAATTCACAGTTTCTACGGTATAAAAACCTTCGGTTTACACTTGTTATCAGTTGTTGGCTTGTGGCCATGTGAGAGACTATAATTGTTCATTCTTGTCTGCGTGTGTGGCAGGCATATGGCAGTCATGCTAAAGCAACGAGCGGTCGCAATTCAGTTAGCACGGACTGAATCCCTCCGCAGTCATTCCCACATTTGCACAGCAGCGAGAATGATTTGTTCAGTGTACGTGTACAGGATTTATTGATTCGAGGCACTCGTATGTCTGTGTGTGTGTGTGTGTGTGGCTCTTATGACAAACTGAACGGACATTATCATCATCATTATGTCGAATATCGTCCCGACCTGTCTGGCTAACCTTCCTCATTCGCCTCGATTTCAGCTCTTGTCGCTCGCTCGCGCACGCTAGTCTCGTCAGCCAATTGGGCATCCATGCGTGCGTGCGTCTGAATGAGGAAGGGAAATTACGGTTTCATGGAGTGCGTTTCTACGACCCCGATTATTCACACCGCCAAAACTGTGTACAAACATACATGTGCGTACGCGCGCTCAGACTTTGTGAAGGGACCAGTCCACGATCATCTGTTTGGCGTGCGTGCGTGCACACATACCTACGCACACGCACACGCGCGCATGAGACATACAAAACGCACCGCCTGACGAGCAAGCTAACTGACTGAATGAGCAACCAAGCGATCACAAACCAAACAGTGCTCGCTTTCGTCAGACGCCGCCTGGATCTCACCGAGGCCATCAGCATCCTCGAAAAATCGACTACGTCACATCGATCCTTGAACTGACTGTGCTAGGCATAGTACAGAGAGAGAAGCTCAAATCCGTGAGTACCCGTGCTTTTGTTCGTGTGTGTGACTGTGAACACCCCTGCGTGTGCCTAAGCCTTCCGTGATACTGTGCTACAACACCCCCAGTTTACCATGGCCGAGACGGAACAAGCTCCGGCAACCAAACCAGAAGGAACTGCACCCGAAACGAAACCGAAGGCATCAGCTGAACCCGAGGCAGAAAAGAAGGAAGCCACGACCGAACAACCGTCGGAGAAACCAGCCGTGCCCCAGTACAGATCCATTGTGCTCGGATCGTTTGGCGGCTCAAAACATTTGCGATCAGAGCTGACAGATCAGCGCAAACCGGATAAAAATGAGGTCGAGGTTGAAGTTGAGGCATGGTGAGTTACGCTGTCCCCTAGCTTTGTGACATCGAAAATTGTGTTCGATGCAGGATTAACAGTTAACGCGATTGTTGTTTTTCAATATTATTCATCTTCCACATTTTTTGGTTGCGTGTAGACCATTAGAAAGACAAGTTTTAGCCCTGAGTACTATCAAAGTTCGCCAGGCAAGCAAAGGAAGTAGTAATGTTAGCCGGTTGGGATGCGAGTAGAGATGGGATCGATGGGAAACGCTGCCTCATTCTAACGTGTGGCCAGAACCACGAGCTTGTCCGTTAGGGTACTAGGTCATAGATAAACGTTAATATCTTTTTTTCCTTGTCACAGCAATTCGCCCAATTTTTTTTACCCGTCTTGACAAAAATATTAAATCCTCTCCTTCAAATTTCACTGAAACAAACTTCACACACCAGTTTACTCTAGTAATTGGGCTTGTCACCAACACTCTTTGAGTATCATGGCAACAAACGAATTATCTATTATCTATTTAAATGCGATGAAAGTGTCTGTGATAACCAACAAAGAGCGCTGGACAGCTGTTTCGTCCTGGTTGGGACTCGTCAGCAGTGCGAGTACTTTTTGTGTCCCTGTCAGGACTCGAACCGTGATTATTCGGACTGTGACAAAACAGCTGTCTAGTGCTTCTTGTTGGTTATCACAAACACTTCCATCGCAAATTAAATGCATCCAAGCAGTGGGGACTTAACGATCTCCCAATGAATGAAATCCACAACCAAAAATCATCAACAGTGTCTGGTGCCTGTGAAAAATTAAAATGGGCTAATTCCAAACATTCACCATCCAAACCTATTATCTATATTAGGAAACTGTGGTCCCCTGAGGTAACCATCCGACCGTAAGGTGCGCTGGTGATGCAAGAAGCGTGTGCAAACGAAGTGTGCATTTCATGCATGTGCGTGCACCCCGGGGGGGGGGGGGGGGGAGGAGAGGGACAATGAGAACACCAATTTGGTTGTTTCCATCGGACCGCCCATTCGAGAATACCGCCGCCCGAATTCTTTCCGTTCATGATGTTGTCGTGGCTACTTAATTGTTCGACCGTAATCTACACAGCTCATGTTTCCGAGATCACAGGAGACGAACAATTTAACCTGGAAGGCTCAAATATTTCTATTCCACAAATGATAGATAAACATTGTGACCACCAAAACTGGATACATTTGGACCGCGTTAGAATCGCTGTGGAAATTTGGATTGATTAGCAACCCTTGATGTGACATAAATATCACGGATGATAAGCTCCATATTTTCAAATGATGAATTCTTCGTGTAAATGAGGCGTGAGCTGAAAAGCCGGGAAGCACTGAACAGCTGGGTCTCAGCAGCAGCGGTATGACTCCATCGACCCAAATTGGGATCGAACCAGGGACCTCACAGGCAGAACGCAACTATACTACCCACTCGGCTCCTCATGTATTTTTGTCCCAACATGTAGCCACGTGCAGATGACTGATAACCGTACGGAAAACTATGTTAGATGTCACGTACAGAGCAACTGATTCGTGATTGCCGAAGTAACTCGCACTGTGAAACAGCACGTACTGGAGAAGAAAGTGGAATAGATTTACCAAATTGGAAAGTCACGTGTGTAGTTCGTGTATTTTCGTGCTGACCAGTAGATGAGTCTAAAGGAACTCTACGGTTGTGTGATGTGAAATTTATCAAAGTTAAGTCATTATTCTGCTATATACAAAAAAAAGAAATAACGCTAAACGTCAAATTACGTTGTATGGTTTGTCTAAAGTCCTATGTTTTAATTGTGAACAGTTCAGTAGTCTCGGTAGGATTCTAACCGACGCATATGCGCCGCCTACACTACTGTACAGCGCACACCCTACCAGCTGAGCCACGTGTGTGTGTGTGTGTGTATGCACGCAGGCGTCTTATCTCATCGCTGGTTGTCCTACTAGCGCGGCTCGTTGACTGCTTCACAAACAGAACTCAACATACTCCGCTGGGTACGGAAACATCTAAACCGCTCGTGAACAGTTCGGAAGTGCTCCAGGGAGCATTACTTCCTCCGTTCTTGTTTTCCACCTACATCAGTGATTTATCAGTTAGTTCTTCAACCCAATTATCCAGCAATACTGATAACGTAGTCCTGTGCCAAGCCATTTCTGTTCCTGAGGACATTCAAAATTTTACCAGCAATCTATCACATATCCACGAATTTTCTGTTTGTTCTGGATTGTTTCTTAATTTATCCAAGTGTTTCGAATGCACTTTTACCGTCTCTCGATTTGTTTGTCCCCGTGGTCCCTCGGTCATAAACACAGATCCTCCAGCCCGAGTAGATTCCATCAAGTATTCAGGAGTTACCATTGACACAAACTTAAAGTGGTCATTCTACATTTACAACTGTGGATTATCCTTTCAAATTCGAAGACTTAGGTAGTTCCACGCCAAACAAAAAATCAATGTGTTTGTGTGTCTATTCTTTTTCATTGTTTCCCGATGCTTTTGACTGGGATACTTAACAAAAACGTCACAATTCTTCATCGCGGTTTGTCGATTGTCAGTCTCGTGTCTTTTACACCCGTTGATGATCTATCTAAAAATCTGTCTGAACTTAATCTATCCTCCTGTGGAATATTTGGACAGAAAATCCTCTCCGACCTCGCTCACCCTTTGCAAGGCAATCCATCCAAATGCCACTCTGGTTCATGCCACGCGTTCTACTACCCTCTCACATTTACCTAGACAGAAATTCTCCAGTTCTCTCTCTCTCACCAGAATCCTTGCAAACCGACAGAGCGTTTCTTTTGAATTTCTCAACGACCTAGGAAGTAGGATTTTGTACTCATTATTATTTCTTTGTTTCGATGATGTGTCCACGGTGAACACTCGTCCACGCACAAGTCTATGCAAATACAAATAACTGACAAAAAAACAGGATTTCATGTAGTATGAGGCACTGGGAGATGAGGTGCAGATGTCGGGTTAGGACAAGGACGACGACGACGACGGCGACGAGTTTTTCCTCTTTCTTTTGAGGTCGGATGCTTCTGCGGGGCACATGGAACAGTTTTCCTCTCATTTTATAATCGAAATGTTGTGGGATAAACGTGTCTGTTCACGATAATTTCAATTTTCTTTCGTTTGCAGCAACACTCGTCGATTTGAAATGTCGTTTGACAAACACGAGTAATTTCCCGATAGTGACTTTATTCTTGCTCACTAATCTATCCCATTTTTGGTGCTTACATGAAGACGTCGCGTTTATTTTGTTTGTTTGTTTGTGTTTGTGTGTGTGTGTGCGTGTGTGTGTAAGATATTAGATCTGGATGATACAGTGGCTGTTCACGTGAAAAAAGAAACAGTCCATGTATGCGGACCTATCAGCTATATATAATGGTAACACTATAAAAAACTGGGACTGACAAACTAGTACACCAGAGATCTCGGTTTAACGGATCCCGGTTTAGTAAGACGAATGACGAACGCATAGGAAGAGATTAACAACTCCCGCTGAATAAGGAGCC